CTTGACAGCATCTTAAAAAGCAGAGATATCACCTTGCCAACAAAAGTCCGAATCGCTATGGTTTTTCCTGTAGTGATGTATGGAAGTGAGAGCTGGACCATAAAGAAAGCTGATTGCCGAAAAATTGATGCCTTTGAATTGTGGTGCTGGAGGAGGTTCTTGAGAGTCCCCTGGACTGCAAGGAGAACCAACCTATCAATTCTAAAAGAAATCAACCCTGAGTGCTCACTGGAAGGACAGATCCTGAAGCTGAGGCTCCAATACTTTGGCCATCTCATGAGAAGAGAGGACTCCCTGGAAAAGACCTTAATGTTGGGAAAGTGTGAAGGCAAGAGGAGAAGGGGACAACAGAGGATGAGATGGTTGGACAGTGTCATCAAAGTGACCAACATGAATCTGACCCAACTCCGGGAGGCAGTGGAAGATAGGAGGGCCTGCTGTGCTCTGGTCCATGGGGTCTCGTAGAGTCGGACCCGACTAAACGAAACGAAACGAAATCTTTAATTAGTATCTTTAATGCTGATCATTATACTAAATGATGTAAACTGTTCTATTAGACCTGTGGTTCCCAACCTTGGGTAACTCAAGTGTTCTTGGACTGCAGCTCCCATAAACTCTGGCCAGCAGAGCTGGTGCTGAAGGCTTTTGCGAATTGCAGTCCAGGAACACCTGGGTTACCCAAGGCTGGGAGCCTCTGTATTAGATCACTATAAATTCATAAACAGTATTTATGTTGTGTATAAAAACCCAATGCCCCCCACTTTCTTTCTTTCTTTTGGTGAAAATGCTGTAAGTGGGGTTTTTAAAATCCTTCACATGTTCTTGCATAGTTTTCTGTTTAGGTCTGTATTTCTTTTTCAGTCACACAGATTTTTCAGTCTGAACTGCAGCATTTTGCTTGCTTTCCTCTAATCAGCCATCTGGCTGGGTATCTTGCCCTGTTCATTGCTGTGTGTGCAAGAGAGATAGAGAAGGGCTGTGTTAGTGACATCTGTTCTTGCCTGGCCTGTACACCTCCTTCTTTTCCATTTTACTTTTTCTTGCTGAAGTTTTTTGTTCCCCAATTTCTTATTTGTTTTAATGTATGTTTTCTCTGTTAGCTCACATAGATGGGTGTTGCTATAAAGATAAACTGTGCAATCATGGGTTTTTTAATTAATGCTCTTATAAATAAATGCTCTTTCATGTCCCAGATTAATGTTAATGTAAACAATTCAGGGTCTTTTGGTGCCACCTTCCACAATGCTCCATTAATTTTTGGACCCATGGATTCATTCAGAGAAGATAACTGCTAAAATAAGACTTACACTCCTATTAGAGGAACCGAGTCTGGAAAATACATTTTGAAGAAATCCAGTACTTGATCTCCCACTGTAAGCTTATCAAAATCCTCAAAAGGCATGAAGAGAGTGCATGTGAATGACTTATCCTATGGATTAAAAACATTGGAATAAGCAGTACCACCATCTTCATGAGCATACGTTTCCTAAAAGAAAAGCTAAAGAGAAATTCAGTACATTGATTCAAATGTACTGAATGAACATATTTAGGGGGAAAACTTTTTTAAAGGTCTATGATGACACATATAAATATATATTTAAAAAATTAAATAATGCACTTTTCAACATGTGTATTATGTAATATTAACACTCAGGTTTTTAAAAAAATCGTACAGATGTATCAGTTGCATTTTAGGTTCTGTACCAGTGCTAGGATGAAAGAGCATATCCCCTCCATACCCCCTGCAAGGCGTATGGCATCAGGGCACACGGCCATGTCAGTCATATCATCAGCTTCCCAATAAAAGTGCTAGGTGGATGTTTTTTCAGCTTCAGAATCCTGGCTTCACTATGGGAGCAAGGCACTCTCGGCTAGCATTTGCATAGACATATGGCTAGCTTCCATGAATTGTTGTACCATATTCTTGAAGCCGATGGGGAATTCAGGAGATATACCAATATACTAAAAGAATATTGAATACTGATTATTAATGATATTAAGGAGCCAATATCTGTTGTGTAACTCACAGCTTTGAAAAGGTGAGGATATCACTGGTAAGGGATTGTTGTTGTTTAGTCGTTTAGTCGTGTCTGACTCTTCATGCCCCCATGGACCAGAGCACTAGGGGATAATTTTCAGTTATTAAAGACTTCCTGTTTCTCTCCTGTGGCTCATCTGACTTCCATATAATTCCTACCATCATATGGAAGCCATGGGAGATACAGGACAGAAATAAATAAATTTTTAATTACCAAAAATCACTCCCTATCGTAACATCTTCTAGCAGCAATAACCTTTGGTAATTAAAATGCTTTTTCCTTCCATCTCTTGACTCCCATGGCTTCCCCACAGCTAAACAAATTATTTGAAAGTTGGAAAAGCTGTGGGAGAGAAGAGAGAAGTGTTTAATTATTTAAAAATATCCCCTGCTGGTGACATTATTATTTATTGGTAGGTGTCCTTATGTCACTGGATTTCAGACAGTATAGTGTAGTGGATAGAATTATAGACTAGGTCTCTGGAGACCTGGGTTCAAATCTCTGATTTGCCATGGAAACTCACTGGGAGGTGGAACTGCTAAAACCACTCCTTAAGTGTCTCACTTACTTTGAAAGTCTCATTAGGATTGGCATGTCAGTTTCGACCTAATGGCACATAACATAAAATGATAGTAGCTCTATAAAATATAAAGTTTTTCTGCACATAGAAAATGTGAAAGGAAGAAAAAAAGAGTTAAAAATAACCACAAGGGTCTTACAAAAGATTAGACAACTTTTATTCATCTATCCCAGGCAGTGCAGATTCACTCAAGGAAAACAGTTTAAAGAAACTGGCTATAGCTGTAAATAAGGGGAAAACTACAAATGCTGGAACATGATATGTTATATGCAATGTTAATTATGCTGGGATGCAGATTTCTCTATTTGGTGATACCTAGAATAAGGATGACAACATTTATCTAAGAAATTAAATCTCAGTCATTGCTTCTTTAAGTAGCCACTCATATCTATAATGGAAATGAAGGATTTTCAGAGTGGCAAGATAATTGAAGGCATCACAATTTTTTCTCAGATGCTAGTTTTTAGGGAGCAGCAGCTCTGGTGCTGCTGGACAATCATGTAATCTTTCTGAATGGTCATCCAGTATATGTGTATCATCTTTTACATTAAAGACTGATTTGAATTTGATTTGACTTGTATTTGTGTTTAGATGTACACTGTTGAAATATGGGGTTAATTGGAACCAGAACTCATCCAAAATAAATAAAGACAGCACTCAATCCGGGAAAAGGTAGAATGTGGATGATCACCTATTGTTGAAATCTATTGACAGATAGGTTTGTAAAAACTGCACCTAGTTATAGTAGGTTTCAATATGTTGCATTTTCACATGACTTTTATTAGCTACTCTGATTTTTTTAAATTTTGTTCTCATTCTTTTTGAAACCATCTCCAGCATTCGAATTATGGCTGAAATCCTGTTGTGCAAATCATGTAACTTTAAGAGGCAAAGTGTAATAAGTTAAGAAATCTCAGCATGCCAAACCACACAACTCAGTATGCAACAGGTAATGTCTATGGAGATTTGTCAACATGGCAATTGACTTACAAATGTTACTCCATTTGTGCAACTACACAACATTTCTGCCTACATGTTGCAGAAAAAGGCAGTTATGAAGATGGATTACTTCTCATACCAGATTCGGAAGAGCAATCATCATGAATGTGTTCCTGGGCCAGATGTGAAGATAATTTGGCTCCATTGCAAACTGAAAGACCAAAAAAGTAGCAGAAAACTCACTATGTAACAACTGACCTATGTATAACAATTGGCCTACAGTATGTAACAATTGACTACACACATGGCGAGTGGCGTCCCCAACTTACTGGGACACCCAATTTGTGGCCAGTGGAGCTGCCCAGGAAAGAAGTCCAGGAGAAAATGGCACTGGCCGCACTGCTTGCTGTTTTCACTCCACTCCGCCCCTCCATCATAAAGCTGGAGCATCTCAGCTTCCCTGGTCAGTCTGCAGCTTGCCAGCTTTCCCCACCCACCTTGCCCTGTTTATTGAATAAAATTTGTTTATTGAGGGTTTTTTGTTGGGAATAAAGTACAGATGGCGTGTAATGCGGTACTCTTGTATATTTCTTTTGGCGCAATGTTATTTAGTTTTGTTCTGTTTTCTTAGCGGCTTGGAGCATGGGATGGATCTGCGTGTTGTTGGGGTGGCAGGCAGGACCTGTCACCTCTGGAGATTATGGGTAGTGAAGGCATCTAGAGGCACTGGATTCACCTGCAATGCTGGGCCAGAAAAGCTGCTGCTTGCACCAATAAAGTTGTGTTCTTTTCTTTCCAGAGGTGTGTCAGTGTTTGGTAATCCACAAGTTCTAAACCTGGACATGCTCAGCCTTAGGCCCACAAAGAAATTTATTGTGAGGTAACCCTACTTACATCTCCATTCTTTGGGGGAATTCTCAGTTCTTTGTATCCATGAGGAATATACATCTGGCTGTAATTGAAACGTGTTTGTCTCATAAACTGCTTCCTAACTGTAGAAAACGCTCCATCACAACCCACAATAAGGTCACAAGCAACCTCTTTTGAGATCTGGTCTGCTCTACAACAGCAAAAACAAAGAGGAGCAATGCACACATAGATTCAGACATATTGTGTCCTAGCACAACAACACTTATTTTATATAGTTATCTCATATTACAACATTTTTATCAGTACTTGAACTTGACCACTGTTTTTTCAGGCCTCCTTTTGTAGCACTGTATCTGAAGATTTAAGGGGTTATTTGCTCTTATATTGTTAAGTTTGGACTATGTCTTACAATCCGTTAATATACAAAATCTGCACAGGATATATGAGGCTACACTGAACCAGTGTAAACCAATTATGCCTAACCAGTTATGGCCTAACATTCCAAAAACAACTATTGGCTGTTGAAACAGCAATTTTAAAGGAAGTTTTAGGGGAAACTAAATGTTGTCTGTGTCATTAGTTTGAGCTTCCATATTGTACAGTTAATCGCTTCAATTGCCATAGTCTGTTCAAAAAGCAATTATGCCAGGAATCATTCACACACCCCAACTCGGGAGGAATGAGACCCAATCTATCGTTTAGTTTCAGGTTAATAATTAGAGTGCCCAGGAGGGCTACAGCAATAGCTTACCTTGAAAAGGTCAGTAACCCTGATTTGACATTGCAGTGAAGCAGTTTGTGTTCAAAGTATAATTTAGTGTTGGGGCATTTCTCAGCAGCTGTAGAAAGGGGGGAAATGGTAGGAGTATTAAACACAAATACTTGGGCAAAAGTGAGACTTGGAACAAGCTAAATTATTTACACTAAAGAATAGAGAATGTAGTAGTTGGGTTGAGTGAGCTACTTTATCAAATTAATTTTTCCCCAATGACTGAGATCTGAGAAACTGCTTCTGTTGTACATTGTGTGCAATAAATTTCTAAAGTGCAACACATTCTATCAACCTTGTAAATTTGTTCACCTAAACCAACTACTATCATTCCCATTCTTTAGTGTAAATAATTTAGCCTGTTCCACGTCCCATGAAAATATGCTGACCTAAATGTCCTGATGTTTTGGGGCTGTGGAATGCACAGATTATATGCACCACCCTTCTTATTTTCTGCAAGTGTGATATTCTCTCATTCTCAATAACTTTGCATGTTTATTTCATGTTACACTTGAAGGTCAAAATTAAACTGTATTCCAGCATGATCGGAACATGGAGCATTTAGCACACATTACCTGTTGTTTTGTAGTATATATGGAATGTTCTTCTGGCATTTAATCACATTAGATGTAATCACACTGCAGCAAATGTTAAAATTGTGATGAAAATGGCTTGAATGTAAATTTGGTCTATTCTAAGGCTTTTCTTGTTAGGACGAAGAATATGAGTTCAAATTATTTCCAACAGAATTAGAAGTGTATGTTTCTGTCTTCTCACCCAGTGTAAACAGTAAATAGTGCTGTTATTGATCTTCCTCATATTTCATCTCTATCTGATCAAAGATAACAATGGCCTAAATACTAAATCATAGAAGAGGTAACACTTACCAGTCAGAAGCTCCTTGTTTAAATTTGCTCTGTCCACAGAGAGAATATACTGCACAGGGGAAGAATATACTATAAGGTGTAGAATATTTTTGTATGTACTTAAACATATATGAAGGGCCTCAATGAGGCCTAGAAAACCTCTTTCTCTAAATGGTGAGGCATCCCAGTCTTTGAATTGGTCTTTTATTTTCCCCACTCTAGCTGATGTAGATGTCCTTATCCCTGCTGCCGCCACCACCACAAGCCAAATCCATACCAAAACTAGGCCATGCATAGGGTGAGAACAAAACAGCTAGTAACATCAGTTGTAACAATGTCCCTGAGATGGTTGACAGCTTTCCTCCAGACAACAGCAAAAACAAAACAAATCAGGCAGCCCTTGTTTGCCCCTAATGAGAAGAACAAAGTAGCTACAACCAAAAACAGGAAGTGAACTACTACAAAGCAGGATTGTAGTCTTGGGGCCCCAATTTTCTGGAGCAAATTTAGAACTTTGGGGGATGAGGAATTAACTTGTTCATTACGTCTGCTCTCAATCCAAATCAAATTCACAGAGATCTGTTTCTTGCTGCATGGCAGTTGTAGAAAGGAACAAGGAGCTTTGAAAGATATTAGACAAAAAGAATGGAAGAAAGCATTTGAGCCAGGTAGCATCTGCTTACATAATTATATTTATTTATTTCACTACAGGTTGCCCAGTTACCAAAGTTCTCTGGGTAGTGTATAAGTATATTGAAAATATAAATCATAGAATTAACACTTCAATAAAGTAGCCAAATATGATCCCCAGTGGTGTAGCATGGGTTGCCAGCACCCAGGGTAAGGCAAGTATTGTGCCCCTAACTTGTGGACCATTACCACTTCCTGAGTCCCTTCCACCAGTCCAGTATTGAACCCTTACCCCCAAGCACATGTATTGCATTTTAAGAAAATACTGACGTAATTAAAGTAACATGCATTCAAATTTATTTAAAATCACCTGTTTTTAATTTGTGCAATTTTTTCAATAACAGTATTGGAATCTACATTGAAATCTCTTTCAATTGACAATATTGCTAGGTTACTCAGACTTTCATGGCTCATTGTAGATCTCTGATATGTTTTGATTAATTTAAGTTTTGAGAAACCTCTTTCACAACTGGTGGCTGAAACAGTGATAGTTAAAGAGATTCTGAATGTCACAACAAAGGTAGTCAAACTCTCTTGCAGCTTTCACCTGTACACCCACAGAAGCATATCTGAAGCTGTCCAGTTAGCAATCTGCTCATTGGGATTGACTCATTGCGATACAAGACAATTTGGCGCCAAATGTAATTAATTTCAGTGATCATAGCTGCAGCATTCAACTCTGTATACTTAGCATATGTGTGCTGAATTTGCTCACTGATAAAATCATCTTTTTCCATCTCCAACAATGTCTGGATCTGCAGGAAAGCAAATCACTAGTGAAGCATATTCATGTGTATTTGTAATTTTGCAATTTCTGCCTTAAGCTGTTCAATTGCTTTCAATTGTTCTCTCTGTGTTTCTTGTACTAACGTGAAGCCAGCATCACAACTCTGCTTACCAGGCATCTTCCAACTCTTCTTTCTGTAGAAATGTTGTATGTTATACACATCTGTAAGCTTTCTCAGTTACTTTTGACACTAGGCAGTCTCTTTTTTCCTGGCAAAATAGAGCCAATGCTTTCAACTTTTGCACACATTGGTCAAGCCCAAGTCCTTCTTGCTGCGGGTAGATCTTTTTTTAAAATACATTTTATTAGTTTTTCACTCTATCTACATTTGATTTGTGCTTGTCAAACATTGTGTCACATGATTTGCTTACCATTATTTGCTTTTTACATCTCAGTGTCTTCCCAGTTGTCCCCCCAAATTCCAGACATCTTTCAAACATTCAAACCATTCATGTACGTATTTTAGTATATAATATTGGCTACTATCATAATATTACTTTCATAGTGTACAATATTCTCAAGATTTTCTAGTAAGATCTTGAGAATATTCTAGCCGCCTAGAGTGGTCGCAAGACCAGATAGGCGGGATGTAAATAAAACAAACAAACATACATATTTAATAAAAGTAGTTCCAGATCCATGCCCCATCCTTATATCTAGTTTAATTTACCTAAAAAGAAAACCCACCATATTACATCTTTACCCTTGTCAGAGCTCCCTTATTTCAATTTAATTCTCCTTTTTAATATATAGGATATGCTCCTTTACAATTCCCGAAGTTAGATATATACATGCTTTTCAACATTAAGGGCCCCCTTCCTATTTTTCCCTTTTTCATCATTCTAAGTAATTCCCTCTCTTATTTCTCTTTTTTCACTTTTTGTTTCTGTCTCTCTAAGCATTCTGCCATCTTTCATGCCCTCTGAAATCATTTTGTGCATCTGATTTATCTCCACTAGATCTTTATGCACTTGGTCTATCTTCAATAGATCTTCCAGGCTTTTTAAAATTAATTTTGCTGATTTTCTCCCCTTGTCTTCCCTTAATACTCTCCTCGGATCCAAGATTGAAGTTGTTTCTCTTAGGTTTTCCCCATTAATTTCTTCCAGCTCCTCTTTTGATTGGCGTACATCATCCAGCACACTCTCATTTCCTTTTTCGTTATTCCCTGTCTCTTATTGACTATAATTCTTCATTGAATAATTTTGCCTCTTGGTAGTGGGATCTCACTATTTCTAGTATTGTTTGAAGGGTAGATTTTGTTTCATCCCAAGATTGTCCTTGTTCTGCCATTCTGTTCCAGCTGCCAAAGAGCTTAAGCCAAGATTTGAAACCCCCAAGTCTCACAGTCCAGTTTGAGGATTGTATTTGTGGCCTAATTGATCCCTGGCAATTTGATGCCAGCCAAACAGATATTCTAAGTCTCCAGAGTCAGTTCAAAGAGTCTGCTTTGGCTAAATAGACTGAACCAAAATTTAAACTCCCAAAGTACCAAGGTACAATACAATGGTTGTATCCGTGGCCTGATGGCCTAATTCCCACAGGCTTACGCCAGCTAGTCAAACACAAACACTTCCAGCTCCCGGGGCAATTTCAGAGGATCTACTTTGCAAGCAAGCTTCCTAGCTGCTTGTTTCTGCCTGTTGGCTGATTGGGGAGTTTCCTGGATCAAACGGGGATGACCACCGTCCCCCCCCCCATGATCAACAGGCTTCCCCCCAGTTCCCCACCTCTTAGGGGTGGTTTCGACACCCTGGAGTGTCCCAAACAGGTCAGAATTCAGCCCAGGGGACAGAGCTCCATCCTCCTGCTGCTGTCTCATCGCGGCGTCAAGCCGGTCTCTTGCTGCAGGTAGATCTGAGCATCATTCACTTTGGTTAGCACTGGGCTCCAAAAATGCAAGAATGAGAAAAAAGGACAGGCCCTGATGCAAACTAACAGACTTCCTGCATCATCCTTGGTTTCAGAGGTTTCTTCAGGCCCTTCTCTCAACACTTCTAAAGCTTCTATTATTTCTTCAGTGTGCTCAGCAAGTGCGCATACAGTTTCATGCTTTGAACTCCATTCCGTGTCACACAATCGCTTTATGTGAATTGGTACATGTCCCTTAAGAACATCCCACCTATAGGTGGAGCTTTAGAAGAATGTGTACATCTTTTCCACAGTGCCAGAGAAAGTCACAAACTGTGTCCCAACACTAACTGCATGCATACCAGCATGACTGAGTGATTGTCACATGGCACAAACACTGCTTTGGGATTTAGATCCAAAATACACTTCAGTACACCACTAATATTTTGCACCATTGTCATATCCTTGGCCATAGCAGCACTCCAGCTTAAGGCCATCTGCTTGCAACTTGTCACAAATCTGTTTTGTAATGGCACCTGCTGATTTCCCATGAAACTGAATAAGTAAATAAAAGACCCTACCACACTGATATCTGTATCTTCAATGTGCATAGTCAAATCACTTGGGACATTTGGTCAGTATAAGAAATAATTCTGGAGTGCTATTGAACATAATAGCAAAATGCTTTGTAATTTTTTGGATGATGGCTGTTCTAATGTGATCACCAAGCCAGGTGATGAAGTCATTCTGGCTCTGCAGAGAAAAATAAAACACAATGTATTTATCTGTCTGCTGAACTTTATGAAAATGTTGGTTTGCAGCTGGGTCATATTCGGCAAGTAATTTGAAAGTTTCTAGGAAATTCCCACAGTTACCATCTGTGCTTATATCTTCTGAATGACCACATAAGGGTAAGGTTTGCCTGGCTAGGTACAGCACACAATCAAGTATCCTGGCTAAGATTGCTTCCATTTCTCAGATGACCTCTATAATACAAGCTGGGCAGCAGCATCAATAGTCTCTTGTTTCTGTAGCCACATTTCAAATTCTTTCCACACTGTAAATGAACTGAGATTATATGAACTGTTCTCATGCTCCAGTAATCTGTGGTTTAGATTTTCTATGCATTAAATCCATTTGGCTTTCCCAAATAACTTTTCCCTTCAGTCTTCAGAAAAAGCATGCAAAGAAAGCAATATGCAGTACAGTTTACAGGAGAAAACACTAACCACATCCTTAACATAATTTCACCATTGTCCAAATTAATTTAGAACCAATCCTTGTACAATGACTTGCCATTACTGTCTTTTGGAGACAATGCATTCTTATTCTACAGTTGCACTGTCCCTTTCTTGACAAGTTCAGTTTTCAAAGTTTCATCCACAGTTTTAAGCCAATAGACAATATCAGCGAAAACTTTTATGTGAACACTTTCTGGCAGAATATTTGGCTGAATAGAAGTAGAAACATCCTCAGGCTTCTAAAGCAAGAGCAGAAATGTCCACAGACACTGGATCAGGGTCATGAAGTTCCCGTGTTGTTGGTGGTAAGCCTGGTATACTTTCAGCAGTGTTCACAATAACATAGAATCATAGAAAAGTGAAGTTGGAAGGGGCCTACAAGACCATCAAGTCCAACCCCCTGCTCAATGCAGGAATACAAAGCAAAGAATATCTGCCAGGTGGTCATCAAGAAACCTGTCAAGGCTTTTGTGGCGTTCACCTTTGTGGCACCTGCATGTT